CTAGGTCCATGAGAAGGTGCCACTTCTGTATGTAGAGGGAACGCTCCTTTCATGTAGACCCAACAGCTACCGTGTAGGCCAAATTTACGTTCAAAATGTTAGTACAATTTCAAGTGAAAGTCTTGTGCGCGGCGCAGTGAGATCGGTCGACTCTAGGTTTTTTAGCCTTCAAATTTTTTATTTCAAAGACGATTCAAGACAACAGGCGTCGCTACCACCACCTGCAATTCCAAAGAGGTGCACATCACATCGGTAGATGAAATTTTCTAACTAGTGTGATACAGTAACCCATGTTTGGGGTGATAAAAACATCTGCAGAAACAGCTATTGGAGGGTCACTCATGCAATCCAAAAACAATCAAATTCTTGGTGGTCACTTCTTTTCTCCCTCCCAAGCAGATATATTATTCAGTATTCCAGCGAGTAACTTTGTAAACAAGAAGAAGAGATAGCCTGTTTTTATGGACGGTTCCCCTAAGCCCATCGTAGCGCGTATGCGTGGATCGGAAATCCATTTGAGGAAATGGTTACAGCTGTAATGGTGTGGAATTTATTGATGTGCATTGGGAGCAAAACCAAAAAACGATGGTAGGAAATCGAGGTCGAGGCCGAAAAGTTTCCTAGCAAAGTCAACCTGAGTGTTCAACCAATTTCGAAGAATTTCACGACCTTTCCACCATCAGACCACCCTAGCTGTCTCTATAGTATTTGATCCTGACACAACGCGCCCCCTCCCCTCCTCTGCAAAACGGCCGATGCGGGAGGGGAAGGCTAATTGTGACATTGCGAATGTTCTATTATAATTCCGCCTAATTCACGCTTCATTGTTTTAGCCTTTTCGTCAAAATCTAAAAATCTGTCGAAAACCATCCTCCTTCCAACAGCCACGACTTGAAAAACAACCACGAATACCCCCACCTCCCACCATTCGAGCTTTCAAGTAGAGTCAACACCGAATACGACCCCTCCCAGAAAGTCGCAGATACGACCCCTCGTCGACAGACTTGATCCTGTTCTTAGAGGACTTTCATTCCTCTTTTTTGTTCAGCAAACACAGGGAAACGCATTCCAACGCCCAATACAAATTCCTCCTTCTATCTTTACTATTACGCAACGTAAAAGAATCTTCAAATTAAACGATAGATAAAATTATAATGTTTACAAGAAATCAGGGTTTCAATAATAGAAGAATCATATACAGCCGCTTTAGCGCAGTAAATCACATCTGTGCTAGGAGCCGTAACGGACTGAGAGGGAGCGTTCACAGAAATACCATGAATGAAACAGGAATCGGAAAGCCGGGTTCATTTCCGGGTGCACGTCAGTCCTTCCGGTCGGGGTCATACATTCACGGTGGTGTAAATTGGCGGAAGGCGAGGATAGCTGACACCTGTCCCATCAGCATGGATGAGGGAACTACGAAATCTTATTATGTCAGATAGATCACAGGGGGGGGAAAGGACTTTGTCTCCAGACTCAAGTGAAATAATCACACTTTGCTCAGCTCGAAGCGTGTGCTCCCAACTTAGAATTGGAGAGCGCACTTCATTTTATAAGAAAATCTTCATAGTGGCCATCTACGTGGACGGCATCAGAAAAGTTTGCCCCTCGTGCTCGTGGTTGAGCTCAATGGGTTCTCGACTGATCGTGTACCGTTACGACGGGTTCCGAGGGGGTTTGCATAGTTAGAGCTAATGTCCCTAGGAAACTATCCCACGTTGAATCGATCCAAGAAATTATGTAAGAGCTTCAGGCTGAAGCAGTTACTGTAGGCCTCCCTGAGCTCGACTACGGTGACAGATGACGTCATATACCTATTCTGAAGGCGGGACGGCGTCAGGTGAAAGAGCAGAGTGAGAAGATATATATGATTACTATATGTAAATAGTATATATATATTATATATATATTATATATATAGTCTATATATATATAATATATAACTTCCGTCAAACGACGGCAATCTCTGCGTAGAAAAAAAGGCCGAAGTGCGACCAGGGCAAAATGCTTCCCCTCCTGCACATGTAGCACTTCTCTATGGATTTATGAGTGTGCTGATGAAAATTCCAACCATGTGAAGCCACCATTTTGAAAAAAAAATTCACTTCAAAAAATTCATCCACCCACTGAATAGTGCGTTGAAGCTCGAACGGCTTAGGTTGATATTAAGACCATTGCGATAGGAATCGCTACCTCCGACGCTCTATGGGCCTATACCAAGCGTGCGAAAATAATGACTTGACTTACAAGGAAAACTACACGAATCCTAACTTCACCTCACGGCACAAAAAATGCAACGTCGAGGAAAAAAACTTTTGGTCCTGATCGAATTTTCTCAACAACAACATAGCAATAAAATTTCAAAATCCATTCACGATGGAAAGATGTAATGAAATGAAAAATGTCTATATGACCATGAGATCATGGAAACGTCGAAAACTGTTTTAGACATGAAAGCTAATCTACGCATACCTGTGCGCTCTATAGGCTATCTCCTCCTCATCCCGTAATTCTGCCAAGTCAGCTAGCTGCCGCCGTAGCGTCCCTGCTTTGATGGCAGCGTCTTCCTTTAGTGTTTCACCTATTTCTTCTTGCGTTTTTCCGGATTCCTTCAATAATCAGAGTTACGAAAGAAGCAAACCAAGCACGAACTGTGGCACGAACAAGTAGGTAAACAAAGGTAACCTTGCACATTCACTGTAGGATATCAAAGAACTAAGTGGACAACACACGGAAGGAAAAGGAAATACGTCGATTTACCTGAAGTTTCTGCAGGTACTCCTTAGCTTTGATTCCGTGCAATGTCTTCAATCTCATATTCACCTTCACTGGCTTCTGATATTCGTCCACTAGCGACGGAGACCTGAAAAGCAAGCCTTTACGCGATCAAATACAGTCATGATCCATTGGTACCTCATCATCATCTGAGCTTATTTCTGTCCTTTCCATCATCCGCCGCCGCCTTGATAGCCTTGCTTCCTTATCGTCACCATCTTTCAAACCCTTAAAAATCCATGATGAATTATTTCCATTTGTTATCCATTCATATGTGAAAAGTTAAAAACGTTGAAAAATTTGAAAGTGAAACTAACTCGTTTAACTCCGATTTTCTTTTTGGGAGGTCCTTTTGTTTTTGAGAGGAAAAAAGCGGGCATTTTCACCTATCACAAAACAGATCATACATAATGAAATCAGAATGAAAATGCGATCACTGCATAAAAAATGAATTATTGTGAAAAATAAAGCACATATAGCGCATCAACGCAGTTCAACAAGTACCAAGCACAAGGCAATAATTTAAATTCATAACAAGATCAGTCCATAACCGTAACAACACAAATGAGATATCGGCTAATTAAGGTATCGTCAAGTCGATGACGGCTTCGCTGGTGATTTATTCTGAAAAGCACAATTTCTAATCATTTCTCAATTCAAAAAACAAAAACAAAAAAAAACAAGAAATCCCGAAAAACTTGCTTTTCGCGATAAGTTTTGGAAAAGGTTTCACACCGGAAAAAAACTGATTTCACACCAGAAATCAAAATTTTCAGAGATAACTAAGAGAGTGAGACCTTTAAAACATCTACGACGACTTCCGATAGGAGGTGCGCATGAAGTAGGAGATTTCTGAGCTTTTTGAAATAACGACCATTTGTTTCGGTCCAGTGCTTTATAACTGCCGTCGAACAGCTGCTTCCGCACCGCATCCTAAAACAGTCCAAGATAGAGGAAAATAATAAGAAATTCGACCACTTACGAGCTAACAAAGAACATGGTCACACATTCCATCATTCATCCGCGCTCTCTTTCGATGCTTCAATAAACCGAAAAGATGCTGACAGATCAGTTCCACTTCTGTACAACAAGTTCAATAAAATACCCCTTGTTCATGCGACTCACTTTTTTCTTTGAGTGAGCGGTTCTGTTTATTTATTGCTTTTTTTTGGTTACTGCTTTTTTGGTACAAATCAAAACTAAGATGAATTTATATTGAGAGGAGTTATTCGCGTTCGGAACATTATCTTCTTTGTAATCATCATTAATCGAAATGTTTGCCATTGAAAATTTTGTTGGATTTGACTTCTGCTATTTTTTGCCATGTTTTGTATTGCTAATCATACCATAATGCATAGTCTTTTAGATCATTAATTAGATCGCGGAAGGCACAGTGATAAGCCGAATTGAGTTAAGATTATTAGACTCATGTTCTGCACCGTCCGAACCGCGATGTGTAAGTTCGATCTCACTGCGGGCGTAAACCATAGCCTTGCAAAAAATGTCGACAGAAAAAGTTGTTCTAGTTATTACAGCGTTTCTCAGGGCCCAGGTTGACAGGCCGGCTGATGAACACCCCAGTCACACAAATGTCTAAAAAGTCGAAAAGATATCAGTGATAAAGCTAGGACGTCACCCGGAAGTGGCGCGCAGAACCCGCCCGAGTTCTGTGGTCAGTATGCGAGGGCTACCGAGGAGTGAACGGCCTCGGCCAAAGAAGCTAGTTCGAATTGGGACTCTGAACGTAGGATCGCTAACTGGGAAGTCCCGAGAGGTTGCTGATCTGATGACGCGCAGGAATATCCAAGTCCTATGCCTTCAGGAGACGCGATGGAAAGGTGCTAAGGCCAGGGAAATCGGGGAAGGTGTCAAACTCTACTACAATGGAGAAGACACCAAGCGGAACGGTGTGGCCATAGCGGTAGCGGAGTCGCTCAAGACAATGGACGTAGTGTCTCCAGTGGTGGTTGAGACGACGATTCATGGCGAGAGCGGAATCATGGCTGTGAGGATAGACACGAAAGAGGGGGGGTACTGGACAATACTCTCCGTGTACGCGCCGCAGACAGGATGCCCCGACAGTGAGAAAGGACGAGTTCTACCTGAGCCTGGACGAAGCCATAAGAACGATTCCGGAAGGCGATTACCTGACCATAGCAGGTGATCTGAATGGCCACGTCGGCAGTGACAGGAGAGGCCGGGAAAGGGTGCACGGAGGTAGAGGGATAGGAGTGAGGAACGCCGAGGGAGAGAGGGTCCTGGACCTGGCTACGGCCCACGATCTGGCAATCTGCAGCACGTTCTTCGCGAAAAGGGAGACTCAGAAGGTGACCTACAGCAGTGGGGGACGACATACGGAAATCGACCATGTGCTCGTAAGAAGATCATCCCTGAGATCGGTAAAAGACATCAAGGTACTCCCTGGCGAGGAATTGGCTCCGCAGCACAGGCCCCTCCTGGCAGACATTGCCATGGACCTCCCGAAGAAGACAAGGGTTAGAACCGAGCGGAGAATCCGGTGGTGGAAGTTGCACCAAGCGGAGAAAGATGACCTCAAACGAAGGATAATGGAAGTTGGTCTACCAAATCCTAACGGGCCAATACAGCGAACATGGAGCAAGACGGCTGAGACCATCCTGCGATGTGCCAAGGAGGTACTGGGCGAGACCCGAGGTGGAATCAGAGGAGACAAGGCAGCGTGGTTCTGGAACGAGGAAGTCCAGCGAGTCGTGAAGCAGAAGAAGGAAGCATACAAGCGCTGGCAGAAGACCCGGAGCCCCGAAGACCTCGCTACCTACAGGAGTTGCAAGAGGCTCGCTAAGGCCGCCGTAGCCAAGGCGAAGAACACGGAGATGGACGCCTTGTACGAGAAGTTGGAAAGCAGAAACGCAGAGAAGTTCGTCTTCAGACTGGCCAAAGCCCGGCATCGGGCTACCCAAGACATCAGGGTGGTGAAAAGTGTGAAAGGCAGAGATGGTGTCATCCTAAGGAAGCCAGCCGAAGTCAAGAGGAGGTGGGAAGAGTACTACAGTGCACTTCTGAACGAGGAGTTCCCCCACGAGAACAACTCACGGGCAGAGGCCACAGCTGGTCCCATCGCACTCTGGACTGAGGATGAGGTTAGGTGTGCACTTGGGAGGATGAAGATTGGGAAGGCGGTTGGCCCAGATGGGGTGCCAATCGAGGCATGGAAGGCGCTCGGTGAGTACGGGATAAGATGGCTCACACGATTCCTCAACAACATAACTGCGGAAGGAAGGATGCCAGATGCCTGGAGAACAAGCACTATCGTCCCCATCTTCAAGCAGAAGGGTGACGCGATGGACTGCTCCAACTACCGCGGGATCAAGTTGACTGCTCATACAATGAAGCTGTACGAGCGACTGGTCGACTCGAGACTGCGGGAGCTGGTCCCCATCTCCCAGGAACAGTTCGGGTTCATGCCCGAAAGGTCCACAACGGATGCCATCTTCATCGCAAGGCAAGTGATGGAGAAGTATCGAGAAAAATAAAGCGCCTGGGACGCGCTAGCGCTCAGGCGCTTGGCTGTGGGACCGGGGAGAAGGCGGTTCGACGGCTTACCACGAGCCGGGAGGGCGTGACTATGCGGATACGCGCTTAGGGAACGGAACGTGCCAGAACACCTGGTGGTCTCGCTGGTGAAGGATATGTACGATGGGGCGAAGGCAGCTATACGCACCCCACACGGCCTAACGAAGGAAGTGGACATCACGGTTGGGGTGCACCAAGGGTCGGCTCTGAGCCCGTTCCTCTTCCTCCTGACACTAGATGTCCTGGTGAAAGGGCTCATGGAAGGACCGCTAAAGACCATCCTCTACGCAGACGACATCGCCCTGATAGCGGATAGTAGAGAGGAACTACAGGCCAAGGTGCAGCAATGGCAGAAGGTCCTGGCAGATGGCGGACTACGGCTAAATGTCAAGAAGACCAAGTTCCTGAGTTCTGAAGAGGGTGCAGAGCCGATCATGGACGGGCATGGTGAAAGCATCGAAAGAGTAGAGGACTTCCGATACCTTGGAAGTGATCTGGCGGCCGACGGCAGTGTGGACCAGGCAGTAATGGGGAGGATCAACGCGGCATGGATGAAATGGAGGGAGTCCACTGGAATCCTCTGCGACGAAGGTGCTCCAGAGCGCTCAAAGGGAAGGTGTACCGAACAGTGGTAAGGCCTGCGATGCTCTACGGCAGCGAGTGCTGGCCCCTGAACAAGAACCACGAAAGGCAGCTTCACTCCGCTGAGATGAGGATGCTGAGGTGGGCCTGCGGCTGGACGCGACTGGATAGGGTCAGGAACGAGGATGTCAGAGCGGTCATGCAGACTGCCCCTGTCCAGCTGAAGGTGAGGGAGCAACGACTGCGGTGGTATGGACATGTGCTGAGAAGACCGCAAGGCCACCCGATAAGGAATGCGATGGACTTCGAAGTGCAAGGCAAGCGACCGCGAGGAGCCCCAAAGAAGAGGTGGAAGGATGTGATCAAGAAGGACCTAGGTGAAATCACGGCCACTGCAGGAGATGCCCTAGACAGAGCGAAGTGGCGACGACTGACAAAGACAGCGGACCCTGCGACTGCGCGGGACTAACGCTAAGGAGAAGAAGAAGAAGAGAGAAGAATTTCGGCGGAAGGCAACGTTGATGAAGGCACTTGCATCAGAAGTCCACGCGCTCAGGTTATTGACAGCTCCACGTGTTGTGGTACGTCGCAGAATTCTACAGCCGCGACATATATTTATTTTATGCCGCACATATCTTATGAGTGGCGATGACCAAATACTGATCCAAGGGCCATATAATAGGTTACTCCACGAGCCAAAAGACTAAGGGGCCGTCCCAGAAACACAGAACATTCGATAATAGCCCAAAGACCATGGATGTTTCTAAGGGTGGGTGAAATATTTGCGTAAAATCGCTAGCAATGGAAAGAATTCGACGCCCCATGTGCTCAGAAAGGGAGGAACCAAGTCTATATAAGTAATTCTTCAGATAAAAAGTTACCAATGATTGTACTGAGCACATCGCATGCGTAACAGAGGGCCATTGAATTACTTCGCAAAAACAACTTTTTGGGTTGGCTTTTCCTCTCGCCCTGTTTTCTTACGGGTCAGCGGTTTTTTGCAAGTTTTTCAATGCCGAATCACAAAATGCTATCACATGTAAATAGTACTGTATGGACTACTGCAAACCAAGAGGGGAAAGGCAAAGCATAGGTAAAAACGAGCTTGGGAGAGGACTTTGATGAATCATATGGATGAAGATACTCACTGTTTGGCCTTTTAGGTCCTGTATTCGTTTGTCACTCATTTCCATGGCTTCTGCTAACTTCTTCCAATGAGGTGCCAGAATAGATGCAAGCTTAGCTAGTGTTGAGTCACTCATTTCGTAATCGGGACTCGGTGACGCCGACCTTGAAATCTAATATTGAGATCTTGACATCAGACAAAGAAAACATTACCATACCCTTCAACACCATTCGAACGATTCCGTAACAACGACTCTTCAACGGCTTTTCTCGCTTGTCGTTCTTCACGTTCTTGGAGCTCTGCTCGGAACTCCTTGAAAAAAAAGAATGTTGAACAATAGGTAACGGCTTTCTTCACGTAACAGGCGGGTTTTTACCTCCATATTTTTTCCCGTCTTCAGTATCACATTATCCAAAAACTGAGGTATGCTGAGCGTCTGTTGAGTTTGAGCAGAAATATATTGTGAACTCTCAACCATAAGCAATCTACACGCACGAAACTGAAACGCAGGATCACGAGTTGATCTGAAAATGAAAAAAAATGTTCACAATCCGTGAGAAGTATCAAAAAGAATTAAATAAGTTCGGAACACCCAGATAGCCGAGCAAAAAATGTTGGAAAAGATAAATATGTAGAAATGTTGCTCAGATGCCGTCAGACTTGGTGATTGTGCAATCGATCTGCAGTCGCGATCGCACTTTCGCGCTTGCAAAGTGTAAGTGCGATGGGTCGCAGAGTCTGACGGGCATCTCATTGTCAGTGCAAACGTGCGTATTAGTTTATTGCTACATTTTCAAAATTTTCGCTATTATTTCGAAAAATCGGGAATGAACGACCTCAAAAGATGTATTAACGTACAATCCAAGAGGTGAGCATTTTTTCTAGGTCGCAAGGAAAAATCACTCAAAAAATTAATTTACTTGTATTGCTCCTCTACTTGTTGTTCGGGGTCGAGCTCATCTATCGGATCTCGGAGAAAGTCCACCAAGGAAGGAGCGAATTTTCTAAAAACTAAGAATGTATGCTATACGAAGTTATTACGTGTATAAAACAGACTGACTGCTTACCGCCTTTTGTTTTTGCAAGCTTCCAGTAGATTTGGCTCAATACTCCACAGCTTAGTCAGCTCGGGTGTTCCAATGTCAATTTCGGCGGGATCGAATTTGATTCGTGGCCTTCTGAACAATGCAACTCGATCCAGTAAAAAGTTGTTTCACGCTCTTGACTTCAAATTCATGTGAGTGCGCGTGCGAAGTTTATCAATCGCCTTGCGGGGGAGATCAGCGAACGCACAGTCAACAAACAAGTTTTCGAATTCTTGCTATAAATATCATTATTACGTAGCCCTGGATCAAAATTCGCTTCTGTAGACTTCATAATGTAGCGAAAAATACAATGGAATCAAGAAACTAACTTTTTATATGGCTGCATTTGCTGTTTATCCGCAAGGTCTCTGCCATTTTTTGGACATGATTCGCTCTTCCATCTAGCCCATTCTAATTCTCGTTGAAGAATATGCTGAGTGAAGATTATAAGTAATGAAAGCGGGAATTGTGAAGAGTCGTTGATGCCACCTTTAACTATCTGCGAAATGTGCTCCTTTTGGATGGGTTTCGCGAAGCAGACGGTAACATTTCTCTTGGCTCTCATTGACAAACTTGGTTTGTTCTTCAGTAAGAGTGGTAACTTTTCTGTAAGATATAAGAGCTACTCCTATTTTTCAAATCTATAGCCATAATAACTGGAAAAAAGGAACACACGCATCGTCTTAGTCCGCCGTCTCCAGTTCTCTAATCTTTTATAGAAGTTGCTAAACATCAAGTGCTACATCGAGTCGCAACAGTAAGTCGGAGGTACCTTAGGAAGCGAAAGGAAAACCACAGTCAGAGCAGAAGAGACTGTAAAACGGCTGGTCATTTTTTACCCTGGTTCTTTCTTTAGACAATATTCGTAGTGCGAGAGATGTATGGGTCCAACACGTTCGACGAGGTAGCAAAGCATAACTCATTACTATGGTCTGATCAGGACTATTTGCACGTCATTTATTTGGTGAAACAGAAAACGATTAACGATTAAAGGAGAAACCATACCAGGAAGGACAAGTATGGATCGAGCCACAACAGAAAAAAGAGGCTTCAGAAAGGCATAAAACGTACTGTTTGGCTCGATTGCTCGTTAAGTACTGGCAGAGTATAATGAACTGGATCAAGAAATAACGTCTAAATTGCAGAGGTGGCATTCAATGCAGATTTGAAGAAGCGTCAAAAGTTAATATTATTGAGAAACGGTGACAAATATGTTATACGACAAACTTACGACTATAAGAGGTATTTTGCGAAGTATGTATCCGATTCATCGATTACTTTTCGAGCGTCTTCCACATCCTAGAAGATAAGAGTCCATTGAAATTAAGGTGCAGTACAATACAAAAACCTATAGCTCACCGATACACGCCTTTTCCCGTTGTCTTCGTCGTCATCACCTGATTTTTCCAATTTATAACTCGAAAACACACCTAGTACATCAGTTGAATTCTAAAAATTGCATTTTGGCGATTTTTCTCGAACTACGAGTCATTAAACATTACAAATTTACCTTTTGGAACGTGGTCCATTGTTGCTTGTCAAAACAAATTGTGGATTTGAGAAAAAAGACTGCATCTGCCAAAACATTGAGTATAACGCATGATCAACGGGAATATTCACTTCCCTGAAACAATACCCCATCAGACAATTCATCGCACGAAAACCCTTTTCAACTTTGAATAACCTACTTTGTCTCTTTGATTTCCCCTGTCTCCATTTCTTCATCTGAGGCGTTGATTAGATCAACAGGCTGTGTTTCTGACTACAAATAGGATGTTTTCTTGCATTCAGGCCAGAGATAAAATGCAGCGTCCGTGATGGGGAAGGTGCTTGTAGGTGCAGAGTACAAATTCACTCACTGTATCGAATTTAGTCACATTTTGAGTATTGAAATGTCCCATCAAATTTAGGCCAGACTTTTCGCTTAGTGGAAGATACCTGAACCACAAAAACTAATTTTGAGCTTCAAGCCAATCAGAAAATGTCATAAAATTCATTCCCAACTGCGAAGCTTACCTGCTAAGGAAGAATAAGATGCGACCACAAAATGAGGTCTCAGCGCTTCTACTGAGTCTTTTCAAAAGATCGTTACACATTCGCAGTATAGGTGTCTGCGAAGTTTCAACAAGAGGCGACTGAAAAGCGTGTATGAAAAATGGAAAAAGGCAATTGGTATAGCCGGAGCACCTCTTGTTCTCCTTGTAAAATGGAAATAAGTGAAAGATTCACTCAAATCGTGTACCTGTTTGAACTGAACCATGTTTTCCTCGAGAATCCCGAACAATCGTTCGCACCGACCTATACCACTAACTTCAAACATATCTTGAAGAGTTTGCACCGCAGTCTGTTTTACGCAGAGACCTGAAAACGATGTCCTTCTCTGAAGAATCGTGAAAGAATTTGGAGTATACCCTATAGGGTCCAAAAGCAGTATAAAGCTCGTTAGTCTCCGAAAAAAAACTGAGAGGTGTGTACCGCGCGCAGAGTATGTGTTACTCTAGAAGCTAGGCTATCTGCTTTTGCTTTAAAGGCATGCCCCAGGATCGCACTGGTGTGGCTCTTGCACACGAATGTGAATGTATCGGTGCCAAGTGGGCCGGCAGTGAAGAAAAAAGGAAAAGAATCCGTCGAAAACGCTCAGGTTGAGGGCTCACTCACCTTCCTAATTGGCTGTGCTAAAGGAACGAGAGACTAAGCGCGAAGAGGAGAGTATGGGGCGAGAGAGCGCATCAGATGAGAGAGCACCAGACAACGGCCTGATAAGAGAGCTCGTTCGCTGCAGCTCGAGCAGCTTACTTTGCAAGCCCAAAGCGTTCTTGTCGGTCGAATTCCGTGCACGTGAACGCCACATTTGTGATTGTCCCCTAGGGTTCTATACTGGTTTCTGACCGATTGGGGAAGAAGAGTGTATAAAATCCTCTGACTGGGTATGTTGCTTTAAGTGACGTGAGTTAGCTAATAAACCCATCACTTACCGTTTTTACACACATTCAACGCAAACTCCAAGTGGCGACGCACATTTTCCTCAATGGTCTCGTCAGGACCTCTGGCTATATCTAGGCACGGGGCTGCTTCCCGCAGAGGACTTCAAAGTGAGAGAGTATCATCTGAAGTTGTTTTCGGTGTGAGATATGAGAATGTTATAAAACTCTCTTAATAGACGTTCCTGTCCCGAATGGCGCGTCAGCAGGCAGGATGTCCGAGGAGATATGGAATCGCATTTTCTCGATAGGTCATGGAGACAAGGGGCTCTTCATTCGAGCAAACAGCAGAACAGTAGTCTACACAGCAAAAAGTTTCCTCAGCCAAGAGTCGAGGAAATGCGGATCCATGATTACAAAGAGTCGTCATCCCTCACCAAGCAGATTCTCGACAACTCGTGAAATAATTCTTCAAACCCTCTAAGTCTCGTTTCTTGACAAATTCTTCCATGAACCCCTGGAAAATGTCTTCATGTACTCATCTCACGGAAACTATTATATTCTCAGATATACTGTTGTCTAACTATTACAGAAGAGAATAACCATGATTGTACAAGTTTATTATACCTTATATTATTATTAACAGTAACGGAAACGTTAGGATAAAACTCCTGATGGTTGCGGTAAATCAAATTTCGGACAATAGTATGCGAATGGGTAAGCTCTGATACTCATCGTTCCGTCAAAGAAAATTATGAGATGTTCAACGTCGCTGGTACTGAACAGTAACACCGCTAAGTAAGTAAAATAAAATTTACTCCAAGTCATCAGCGTAATGCTAACAAGAGAATAAAACGATGCTAATACAGCATACGCTAGTTGCAAAGCACTCGAACACGTAGAATATTTTACAGGATGAAGAAGGAAAATGCAAATCAACACCGAAGCTATAATTAGAGTACACCGAAATACCGAGAAGACACAACCGATTCGACCGAAACAAATTAAATCTGTCCCCGATGAAGAAATACGAAAAAAAAATCGTAACTGCATGTACATAACACAGGCTGCAGACAGGCAATTTCTGTCCACGGGACAACGAGTGAGGCATCAGTGAACAGCGTGGGAGTAATACCTAAAAAGCCACTGTTGAAGAGGAAAAACACGACAAAAATTTTTGGCGTCATACGTGAAGTCACACAAGGTCGATCAACAAGCTTACTCAATCAGCTCCTAAACCAGCTAGTCGAGACTGCAAAGCGTTGTGGGTGGCGGAATCCATTGTGCGTCGTTTCTTCAGTGGATTGGACGACAACTTTGCCTTTGTTTCGTTCAAAGCATCAGGCACAGGAATAACTGCCTCACTAAATCAGGCAATAACTTTGAGGGCGGAACGGACACAGTGAACGAATATAAATGGCGCACTACATACAATACGGTGTTTGTACAGAATGGATCATACGGTAGGGATCAGGGTCAACCGGTCCGTTGTACAAAGTTCGATGGCGAGTCGTATAAGAAAATTTTGGAGAGGAGTCTTACATCTGATTTTTGTGTATGCGTGATTTTGGGAAGGAGTGGGTCGTTTCGAGTTTGTATTTAGACGGTCACGGTGGTGAAAGTTGAAGGGTGGTGTTGTGTTCTTGCGGCGGAGGGGAAAGAGGTGTCGCTTTTTGATGGAGTACAATTGTTTACTGAAATCTGTCGAATTGGTGGAACTACGGTATCTACCACTTCATCAGTTTGATGTCCCATCCTCTCTCCCTCCCACCTTCCCGCTCGACGGGACTTTTGAAAAAAAAAAACTGGGACGGAGCTGAAGTGTACCAATCCGTCCCAAAATCAAGCATAATAGT